GTAGATGTGTGTGTGTATTAATTTGTCACACTATCCTATAAAAAACATATTGAATGATACACGAAAGTTCCGAAATAAATCCGAAAATTAAATGTGGTGTAATGAAGATAATTAAAAAAGGGAGTCATTCGATATTCATAAAATAAATAAAATAAAATAAAAATTATTTATTTCGGACAACAAGATCCATAGAATTTGTTAGTAAAGAAAAACTTACATCTATGTTAGTAATATAAAAAATTAAAATAAAGAACCTAACAAAATGTTAATATAAGTATTTAGATTTCTTGAAAAAAGGTTTTGACTCAGCCCGGGCTATGGATTTTCAAAATCCCTACATTTTCCCCGCATAAAACCAATCCCAAAAAAATCCCCAATCAACTTAAAATTCCCTGCAATTTGGGGAATGCCCAACATGTTAGCAACGCTGCCTGACACTGACTTTTTTATAACTGGCTTCAAGGCTCTGGGTTCTAGCCTTTCTGAGACTGAAGTTACAAAGTATAACTAATTTACTCATAGTACACTGCTTCACAATATGTTGATGCGTCACATTGTGCAACCCTTGGGAGATTTTGATGGCAACTTGGCACCTAAGCAGACAGACACCTTATCTTGAGAATCACATCACCATTAGAGCACTTGTTTCACCGTTTCGACAAATAGTTCACATGCGCAGACACTTAATACACAAAATCGCACTACTTTTACATATCATAATTCACTTCAAAGTAATATTTAAACAATAATACAAAAGCAGCAATCCTTCACCGTTCAAGTTTTTTTTTTTGGAGTTTATGGCCTGGTATCTAGACCTTTAGGCCAAGTCTTAAGTATTTTTATTCGGTTTATTGTAATTTCCCCACTCCTTCATAGTATACTACTTCACAATATGTTGATGCGTCACATTGTGCAGTTCTTGGGAGATTTTGGCGGCAACTTGATCCAGCAGACAGCTGATAGTTGGCGATGGTATCTAAAGGTGCCTATGCAAACAAACAGCTTATCTTGAGAATCCATTACCATCAGAGCACTTGTTTCACTGTTTCCACTGATAGTTCACATGCGTAGACACTTAATACACAAAATCGCAACACTTTTACATATCAAAGTCCACTTCAAACCATTATTTAAACAATAATACAGGAGCAGCAAACCGCCGCCGGTCAATTTCCCGCCAAAACTCCACCGTTCAAGTTCCCGCCAAATCTCCATAGATAAATAAATATGTAGCAAGCTACCAAAAACCCCTGTCGTTGATGTTTTTATTATTCGCTCGACTGAGCAGACAAAGGAACTAAGCCATACAGCCTTGTCTTTTTTATATTATCCTTCATAATTCACTGCTTTACAATATCTTGATGCGTCATATTGTGCAGCCCTTGGGAGATTTTGACGGCAACTTGAACCAGCAGACAACTAAGAGTTGGCGGTGGTATCTAAAGGCGCCTATGCAGACAAACAGCTTATCTTGAGAATCCATCATCATCAAAGCACTTGTTTCACAGTTTCCACTAATAGTTCACATGCGCAGACAGTTAATACATAAAATCGCACCACTTTTACATATCAAAATCCACTTCAAACTATTATTTAAACTGTAATACAGGAGCAGCAAACTGCCGCCGGTCAAGGTCCCGCCAAAACGGCCAAAACTCCCGAAACTCCCTGTTGTTGTTGTTTTTCTTTATTATTCGCTCGAAAGACCAGGCAAAGGAACTGTTCACGCCCGAACACTGGTTTCGGAATTTGACGCCAGGGGGCTCTCGGCTCGGCGCCATATCGGTTTTGACGTTCGGTCGAGCGGTGTGGTGAATGCGCGCGACCGCAGGAGTCGTTTGCCAGCTGTGCTTGGGACAGCACGCTGTCATTTTTGTGCGGGAATACGGAATAGTTTAGGCGCATCTAGTAAATATACTGTCTAGCATTCGTATCGCGCATTCCTTGTTTGAGAGCTTTCCCGGGACTTCTTGTGTCTAACTCAGAATCTGTATAAGGGTATTCGACAATATTAGCTACTACTGAGGCATTTGATATTCTAGAAATAATTGTTGCCACGCGAAACGGTAGTGAACTTTGATCCGGTCAATATTCGAAATTCGTGTTCGTGCGGTGTGTTACGTTTTTGCTTATAGTAACGGGATTTCGTATAGACCGACATTCTGTATTTGTGTTGGGTGTTACGCTTTATAACAAATTAGAGTTAGTGGCTTCTGGAAGTTAGTTAGTTGTACGATAAAGTTAAGGTCTGACCTCGTGACGAACGAAGAAAGTGATGAATTCTCAAGATATGCAAACATACAGCTTACCTTGAGAATCCATCACCATCAGAGCACTTGTTTCACAGTTTCCACTAATAGTTCACATGCGCAGACACTAAATACATAAAATCGCACCACTTTTACATATCAAAATCCGCTTCAAACCATTATTTAAACAATAATACAGGAGCAGCAAACCGCCGCCGGTCAAGTTCCTGCCAAAACTCCCTGTAGTTGTTTTTATTATTCGCTCTAAGAGCAGGCAAAGGAGCTATGCCATACAGCCTTGTTTTTTTTTTCAGTATATAGAATTTCACTGCTTCACAATATGTTGGTGCGTCACATTGTGCAACCCTTGGGAGATTTTGACGGCAACTTAAACCAGCAGACATCTGACAGTTGGCGATGGTATCTAAAGGCGCCTATGCAAACAAACAGCTTATCTTGAGAATCCAACACCATCAGAGCACTTGTTTCACCGTTTCCACTAATAGTTCACAGGCGTAGACAGTTAATACATAAATCGCACCACTTTTACATATCAAATTTCACTTCAAACTATTATTTAAACTATAATACAGGAGCAGCAAACCGCCGCCGGTCATGTTCCCGCCAAAACTCTCCCAAAACTCCCTGACACTGACAGCTGAGCTGACATCTTCTTTTTAAACTGGCTTAACAGCTCTGGGTTCTAGCCCTTCTGAGCAAAGAGCTGACATCATATACCACTTCTTATTAGTTTGTGGACTAATATATTTTCACATATATACTTAAATAAATAGGTGCCTAGCCCCATTAGGACTTTTTTATCTTTTTTTTTTGAGTAATTTTTATTTTTAACTAATTGTTCCTCGTTTGTTCGTTATCGTTCAAACATAAAAATAATTTGTTCGTCCTTTAAAGTTAAAGTTACAGCCGATATACACGTCCCACTGCTGGGCACAGGCCTTCTCTCATTTCTGAGAGGGTTTTAGGGCAAGGAAAGTTCTACCCCACTGGCCCAATGCGTGTTGGCGAACTTCACATGTATTCGAAATATATATTTTTTTCTTATTTGTCAGACTTCCTCAGGTTCCTTCTGTCAGGTTTCCTCACTATGTTTTCCTTAACCGCCGAGTACGTGGCAAATCAGCACTTAAAATTGCAATTAACAATTTTTTTGTTGCCGGCGGGGATCGAACGCGGGTTTCTCGCGTACTGTGAAACTAACAATGAGCGCGAATCATCTGAGCAACCACGGCTCGTCCTTTAATAATTTATTATTAATTAAACAAATTTCATCGTAAGGTTGGCCCCCCTTATGGTAAATTTTAATATAATGATTTCTTATATTTACGCGAACACTACACATTGAATAAAACTATTTTTACGGATTTTATCGCGTTTAATTAACTTATTTTATATTCCCGACGTTTCGGTTGCTTTTCAGCAACCGTGGTCACGGGGGACTGAGGTGATTGACGTCCCGATGTCAAAGTTAACCCGGAGTACCTTCAGCTTTTTAATTATTAATTTTGGTCCGATCTACGCAGAATGAACTAACTGTGTCTTGAAGTCTTACAGTGGTATGCTTGGGTTTAGTTTTAATTTTATGAATTACAGGATCCCAAGCAGGTGGTAGTACCCAGCCTCCCTCTCTATTGAAATTAGGATGTTTTTTAATTTCAATAGCCTCACGTATCATCAGCGTTTCGCTTGGTGAGTGCAGGTGGCCGGAGGCCCTTTTTACTGGAAATGAGGTATTCCATCTTAGTCCTCACGGGTGATAACGCATCTACATTTTGATTTGTAATAGATAGATTTAGATGTCTATGGGCCGCAGCAACCACTTACCATCAGGTGGACTGTGTGCTCGTTTGTCACCCTTATCCTATAAAAAAAAGTTGAATTTGGTTTAAGGATATATATTAAGGATGCTATTTAATTTGTTGTATAGATTTCGTCCAAGAAAGCAAAAGAACTTATGTGAGAAAGATGTTTTAAATTAAAGTGTGTAACATACCTTATCTTTACGGCGCTTATCATTAAGTAGCTTCTCAGCATACTGCAGCTGAGAGTGTGTTTTGAGCACAGTATGCAAAATGAAAGTTTGCCTAACAGTAAGAACATCCCATTCCTTATAAAGGCCTACAGTAGGGAATCAGAAGGGAAGACCAGCATTTACCATAAGTATGACTACTTCGATTAGATGAGTTTTGGCAACCCCATGATGTGATGCAGTATTCGATTAGGGATTGGCATAATGCGTAGTAAACCATCTTAATAATCTTTCGGTCAGCAGATTGTCTTAGGATCTTGAAAATAAAGATCAATTTTCGGAGTCTGGTTATAAGGGTCTCTATGTGCGGTTTAAAGGAAAGATGTTGATTAATTATGACCCCAAGATATTAAATGTTCTCTTCTCTTTCAAGAGTGGGACATGAGCACATGGTTTTGAGATCACAGGCATGGGCAGAAATTGTAAAAGAGTTCGGTGGGGGTAGATTACTCTTATGGGCAAAGGTTAAATATTTAGTTTTAGACACGTTGAGTGTTAGAACATTATTTTGCAGCCAGCTCCTGACTTTATTGAAACCTGCTTGTGCGACATGAAATACTTCTTCCCAGCTATCTCCACTGAAGAACGAGGCGATATCGTTAACCAATGAAAAAGTTTTACCTTTATGAAGGGTGTTGGACCGATTATGCTGCCTTGTGGAATACCGAATTTGACATCTACCTCATCACTTAGTAAGTTTTCTATTCTGACCCGTTGTGTTCTACCAGTAAGATAGATTCTTCCATTAGTTTAAGTGAAATACCACTTATACCGAGTCTTTCTAATTTTTTTAATAGGTGCGAAATTGAGACTGTGTCGAACGATTTCGCCAGGTCCAGAAACACTGTTAAACATTTCTTCTTGCCGTCCAAATTGACAACAATATAATTTAATAGCTCGTGTACCGCGTCATTGGTGCATCGACCAGATCGAAAGTCATATTGTGGAGGAGAAATAAGTGTATTTTTCTCTAAGAATTTTATTAAACGCTGATTTATGAGACGTTCGAGGACCTTGGACAGATCTGGTAGAATAGAGATAGGTCGGTAGTTATTTACACAGTCTTTTTCACCAGCCTTGTAAATGCGTTTAATAAGTGCTGTTTTAAATACCCTTGGAAAAACACCTATCGATATTGCAAGGTTGCATATGTGGGTGATCGATGAGGTGAGAAGGTTTGCATATCTTTTAATTATTTTACCGCTGATCAGATCGATTCCCACAGCACTATTGTCCTTTAATCCTCTAATAAAGGTTAAAATTTCTTCCTCATCCGTAGGGAGCATGACATGTGAATTATGAGGTATTTCGGAAATATGATTATTGGCAAGGGAAAGTGCAGTTCAAGCTCAACGCATGCCATTTCTACAGTACGCTCAACAGAGAGGCTCACAATGTCTTTACGTTCTTTACATGATAAGGATTTATTAGCTAATATTAAGGAGCCACCACGTAACTTAGTATCTCTATTGAACGAACTGACCATTGACAACTGAACGGTGATTACTGAAATTAAATATGGAGTTGTAATCTTTCAACCAATGTTCAGTAATACATAAAATATGTATACTGTTACTATTTAAAAATAATTCAATTTCTAATTCTTTGCCTAATATACCTTGTATATTTTGATGCACCAGGTTGATACAGTTTTTATTATTGTTATTTTGTGAAATTACATAATTATGTATTGGTAAGTTGCATTCTAAGCTATTTAAATTATCTTTGCTAGAGATTACCTCTATTGTCTCATTATCTTATTTAAATTACTTGGAACTGGTTCCAAATCAAATGTAAAATTATTTTGTTGCTCAAAAGAAGCAGGTGTCAAGGTAGCCAAATCATTGGCTGAGTTAAAATATAAATAATAAGATAGCGTATTTGCTACCAGTCTTAAACTATACTTTGATAGGTAATACCTACCTCTTGTCAAAAACTTCTGAATTAAATTATTTAATTATTTAAATTTATAATTATTACAATTATATGTCAGTTTTACATTATTATTGCATATTAAATTAGTCATTTGTATATTTAAGTCATGTCTTAATTTATTTTCTTGTGGCAGACCCCATAAGTAAGGCAATGTAAACAAAACAATCCTGTGAACATTTAAATTATTTAGAATTTCAATATAATCTAATAATTGTTTTTTATTAACATTGCCCCTTCTCCCAATAAGAAGTATTAATATACTATTAGAACTATGGCTACTTATTAGAATTTTATTTATAATTTGACTAAATGTTGCTCCAGGCATACAATAATTAGTAATTTGGTGTTCCTTTAGACAGTTATTTAATACTAAACCTAAGTTTTTACCTATATCATCACTGTACACAACAATATTATTTTTGCTAACATTTAAATTATTCAAATTATTTATTGTTCTGGAACTGTCATGGAGTTTATAAGTAGGAGAGGGATTCTTTTTCTCCATATTATTAACACAGGAGGTGTCGGATTTATCGTCCACAAGTCTCTCTTTAACAAGGTTGTAAAGATTGGGTACCAAACCGTATTCGCTGAAGGTTATACAGGTTGATGCACCAACTTCGGCACATGTATGAGGATATATCTAAAGCTATGCATTTCTCCAAAACCCACAATACGGCATTAATGGGAGACTTCAGCACAAAACTACGGACAAGAGAGAACGATGAGCTAAAGGTAGGTAAATTCGAGATAGGGCAAGGGAACCCAAGTGGGCAGACTTCATGGAGAAATAGGAACTCTTTATGATGAAATTTTTCTTTCTGAAGCGGCCTTACAGAAAGTGGACCTGTTTGAACTCCGACGGTTCGACAAAAAATGAGATTGACTTCATTACAACGACTAGACGGCAACTGTTCAGTAATGACTCAGTGATTGCGAGGGTGAAAAATGGCAGTGATTACCGAATGGTGTGAGGCACACTGAGCCTAAACAGTAATCCGGAGAGGTCACGTCTTATGAAGACAATGCACCGTCGTCTTATTGCTCTAATCCAAATCCCCAAAAACTTTCAGCCCAAGTTACATAATGGTTTTCAGTGCCTAGGAGACTGCTTGTGGAAACTATCCATGCGGTCTGAGCTAAGTTTTGGAAGCCCCTTCTCAGAAGAACACAAAAACTCTCCGATCACACTCTTAATCTCATGGGTGTTAAATGGGAAATGAAGCTGTAGTCTTTCTTCAGCAGATTTGTCAGCATACAGGTAACTGAACAGATAGATTTCCAAATACATGCGGCGAGACTTACGCAACTTCAATACAGTTCGTATTGAAGAAGCAAATGGGCGGAATCAGGTCTCCAAAGTCTTTGCCAGAAATATATCTGCCGTGGTCCTTCACTGCTGGCCGTATGCGAAAGTACAAGGTAGCTTGTAGTTTCTCTGCGTGATAAATTTAGGAATGAGAGTATCCGCAGTAGAAATAGATTAACCGTCATAACCCAACGGATTAGTAAGCTGAAGTGGCAATGGGCTGGCCATATAGCTCGAAAAACCGATAATCAATTGGAAAGCAAGGTCGTTAATCAATTGGAAAGCAAGGTCGAGAACCTTGCTTTTCAATAGATTATCGGTTCTTCGTATCTCGGTGGTATCCTCGTACAATTAGGCGAATAATGAAGCGGCTCTCCTCAAGATAGAGTGACGGCGTCAGAAGTCGATCGATGTGGGTGGCTCAGGACCATGCTTTGTGGCATTCTTTTGGGGGAGGCTTTTGTTCAGCAGTTGACTTGTGAAGGGCTTTAATGATAATGGTGGTGAATAGAATAATTTAGCTAAATAAAGTTCGGCAAGCATATATAGCATTTTTTGTTTTATTTGAGAGGTGCTTGATAAAAAACCCACGCTACGCCACCACTGGCCGGCTATTTTCTCATTTGCCATGGGATAAAAAATTAAATCCCATCGATACCTAAATTTAAATATTCATTTTCAAAATGATGATGGCGAAAATGTCTGCAAAAATCTGGGATTAGTAAGGATTGTAGGGTTTATGGGAGCTGAAGCTAGTGTTTCACTCATAAAACTAAGATTAGATTCTTTCGGAATTTGTTTGGACAAAGACATTGGATTGACAACTGACGGCGCAGCTGTCATGGCGATGCTTGGGCGTATTCTGCCAGTTCCGTTTCGTCAATTATGCCTTGCACAAGGTGTGCAACTGGCTGTACAAGATGTTTTATACAAAAAAAAACCGGCCAAGTGCGAGTCGGACTCGCGCACCGAGGGTTCCGAACAAATCCGTGGGTATATAAGTTTAAAATTATTATTATTTTTTTTTATTATATGATGTTACTAAAAATTTATGCTTTTCGCAATGTTTATTTTATTTGTGCTATAATACGTTGCTTCGTACCAAATTTTAAGATTCTGATTTCACGGGAAGCATCCTGTAGGTTTTGATTCCCTTGCGAATGTCGAAAATTTGCGACATAAACGGCTGTATCTTTTGATTGTGTTGGCTTAGAAGTTTGATTTTTTCACAGCCCCAAGGGACAGTAGACTTGAGTATTTGGTATGAATTTCAGACTCTGACTCAGATGAAAACTGTGATGAGGACGTTGATGACTCTGACGGATTTGTTGTCGAACATTCACGGAGACACGGAGTTCTGAGTGATGAATGTAAGAAAATAATTTAAAAAGTCCGGTCAGTGGTGAAGATATTTAAAAACTCACCGACAAAGAACGACGCCACGCTCCAAAAATATGTCCAAGCTGAATTTGGAAAAGAGTTACAACTACTCCTAGACTGCAAAACCAGGTGGAGCAGTCTATCAATTTTGCTGGAACCAAATTTAAACCTAAAATTGTGCATATAGAAGGCATTGATTGATATGAATCTGATATTAAATTCTCAGATATGGAAATCTTTGTCTAGAAAATCTGCAAATTTGTTTGGACATTATCCAAACTAAGGAAGTACTCTGCCGCAGAGATGCTACCATTCTAACGGCGGATATAGCTCTTAAATTTTTGATGAAATCATTAGACAGCCAAGACATGATGTCTGCCAGGCAACTGGCAATTTCATTGAAACGAAGGATTAAAGAGAGGCGACTTTATAATGTTGTCGGCGCCTTACAATACTTACACAACCCTAAGCAATTTTTAAATGAGACTGATGAAGACGAAAATATATTTAAAAAAACCTACGTGTAAAGAAATTAAAAATATTTTCTATCGAGCTGCATCCCTGGATGTTGACGATTGCACGACCACGTCGACTAATACGATCTCTACTTCAGAAACTCTGTGCGATAGTTCTGATCCATTGCCGCTCAGTTTTAAAGAAAAGCTTAATCGTCAACTTTCTCTTGCAAGTGTGGGTAGTGATCAACACCAGTCAACTAGTGTAATTAACGCAACTGATTTGCCTTCAATGATTCACGTTGAAATGGCTTTATTTGAAAACTTTATTAATTATTTTTTGTCTTATTTGTAACTGAGTTACCTTAAACATTCATTTTTTTGAAACTACAATTTTATAAAAAAGATAAGTTTTTATGCATTTGATTTTATGTTATGTTTAGGTTATGACTGTGTTTTGTTGTTTATTTTAGTTGATTTTATTTTGTCGTGTCTGAATAAATGCAGAATTTAAATGATTTATGTTGTTATATTTCCGTTTTATCAAATCACCTTAAAACTTCGAAAAATTCTGATTGTCCTAATTTTTATTATAGGAAAATTCAGAAAATCGGATTTCAAAAAATCCGAATTTTGCAATCTCTACTTGGCGCCCTTTCATACATTTACATTTACTAGTGATTGTATACACTTTATAGATTAACTACTGATTATATACTCTTTGTCGAGAGATTGCTCTTGCTCCATATTTAGTCTGTGGTTTCAGTTGCTGGTTTTTTTCTTTTTTTTTCGTTTTTATTCTGCTTCTTCGTCATAGACATAGTATCTTACTACTCAACTACTACGTCAATACTCTATCTACGTTCTTCGTAGAGCGTAGATAGAGGATAGACGTTTATGTCGTAGAGGGAGTATCATAGATAAATAAATATGATGTAGCAAGCAAGGGAGTATGGAGTGTAGAGTACAAGGAGGACCTTCTCTATATACGAAAAGTGTCCCTAAAAACGCGTCCAATAAGGGTGGCGCTGCAGTAGCATAGGATAAATTAAAAAAAAGCGCCAAAATTAATTAGATTAAGATGGAGAAATAAACAAGGACCAACCAATCCGCTTGGTTTTGTACTACGTAAATAGTTGAGTTTTTGTATACTGACATTTTATTAACTACTATAGTCATGAAATTTTTTTAAATATTTGAATTCAGC